AGATAGATAGATAGATAGATAGATGAGAGAGAGAGAGAGAGAGAGAGAGAGAGAGAGAGATTGCCCCTTAATGGAGTCTTGGAATGAAATTATGTCAAGAGGCTCAGGACTCTGTCTGGCTGAAAATGTAATGGAACAGGAATGGAATCAAATTTAGTGTGACAGGAGAAGTGGGCAAAAGACAGGTAAATTTTGAAAATGGTCTGGATCTGGCTGGACCATGCAGAGAAAAAAATCCATTAAAATTTCCCCCAATGTATCTTACATGAGTGGCAATTGAGTAGTGGCTGAGAATACTACCAGCTGCCCCATCCTTCAGTCCTATCCTTCCTGGTCATGTGACCCAGGACAGATCCGCTATTATGAGGAAAGTTTTCCAGAAAGCAGGCTTGCATCCTTCCCTTAACTTGTTCTTGTTTCCAACCTAATGGGGTGGGGAAAGGAAACTGGATAATTCTCCAAAAATACAGCAGAGTTATACCAAATTTGGTGTGGGGGGACAAGATGGCAAAGAGAGGTAAAGTTTGAAAATGGGCTGGATCCAGTGGGGGGCTGCAGAAAACAACAGTTTGTGCCCATTCCCTGTACACACATACAAATGCACACAGGCACAACACTTTTTTGTGTTTTTTACACAGAAGGAAATACAGATGCCTCCTGTGGCTATTGCTGGTAAAGCGGTTAGAAAGGATTCCAGAAGTTATGCTCTGCATGATTCCCTACCTAGTTTAGGAAAATGAAACTATACAAAAAACGGTAAAATATAATGTACTTTGCACACACTAAAGTAGACAATAGGACCACACTGGCATCTTTGTCCCCATAGCTAACTCCATTGGGGTGAATCTTATAGCTGCTATCTAACTGTCCCAAACCTGGGCCCTTAATGTTTAATCCTTGGCATCTTGCAATGGTATGTGGGAAAGACCTTGGAGACAGGGCGAAAAGACACTGCCAAGGAAACGGTCAGATAAGAGACAGCACAGCCCATAGCTGGATAGTGGGCAGGGCAAAAGGCTCAGAAGAGACCTTCCTTAATTTCTTGGGATGTAAAGGAGAAGGGGGGAGAACTGTGCTTTCAGACTTGCAAGATTTTGTCAATGTAGGTTTACAATAAAGTAGAATTAGCTCGTTTGGTTGTGATTCCTCTCTGGTCTGCCTAGTAAGGCTGACATCAGTCTTGCAAGCCTGAAAGCACAATTCTCCCCCAGCTCTGTCTCCTTTACAGCCCAAGAAACTAGAGAGGGTCTCTTCTGAGCCTCTTCCCCACCCACTATCCAGCTGCAGGCTGTGCTGTCTCTTATCTGACCATTCTCTTGGCAGCATCTCTTCACCCGGTCTCCCAAGGTCTTTCTCACATACCATTACACATCTCCAGATAGGACTGGGAGAGAAATACTTCAGTGACATCCTGGAGAGCAACTTACCAGTCAGTGTATCCAGTGTTATGTAAATGGTACCAAAACTCAGGCTTCGATGTTCCTTTCTCTTGGTGAAAGCTAGTGGAGGTTCACATCCAAGATGTTTGCTCTAGCCACGTTCATCAACTTATGACTCTCTAGAGCAGCATTTCTCAACCTTGGCAACTTTAAGATGTATGGACTTCAACTCCCAGAATTCCCCAGCCAGCATGCTGG